TCATAATTGCCAAAAGAGATTTCCATTAAGTCAATTAAGGATACCAAAACCAAGATCAATTCTTAAAGGAAACTTTTTTGATGAAAGAGAATATGAAAAGAATAGATCTCGTTTCATTTGTGGAATTTGTAACCAAAAAGGTCACGTCAATAGAAAGTGTCCTCAAAACGAATGTTGGAAATGTAAACAACTAGGACATCAAGCACGAGACTGTACTAATGAGACGATTCTAGTTAATAGAAACTTGAGAACTATAAATGAAGAAAATAAAGAATTACAAAAGAAACAAATTAGAATTAAAGAAACTTATGATCCAAAAGAAGGAAGCTCAAAGGATATCTAACCAGAAATACGATCAGAAACTCCAAATGAAACTTTAGAAGAAATAGAAGAAATAGTGTATAACGAACAAGGAAAATTTATCGATCCAGATAAATTAATGACCAAACTTCTTACAGAAAATGAAACTTTGCAATGCGGATGTAGTAGAGAAAAAGTTAGAAAAATTGGGAAAAATATTTATCACTGTTGCAATGAAGATTGTTATAATATTATTACCAAGGATATATTTTTGTTACCAGAAGGAACATACATTAATCCACTGGATTACTATACGCAACAACTTAAAGATCATATTGTCTGCAAAAGATGTTACCAAAAATACATAGAACACCTGTCGATAGATGACATACGAGCAGTACAATATAAAGAAACTAAGTTAGGAAAAACTAACTTCAAGAAATGTACTATTTGCTCAAAAGAGAATTGGAAAAGACATATAACAAACGATTATACTAACAATTACTTTTGTAATAAAGAAGAAAAAGTAGCATTCGAAATGTTTTATTGTTATAGATACTCTACAAAAGCGGTAGTAATAAAAAGAATTCAAGAATATACTAAAACTGTATATAATAATGAAGCAATAAATGAATCGAAAATACTAAGACTCTACGAATTTCTCAAGAACCACCCCAAGAAGAATGGGCCACTCCTGAAAACCAAGAAATAATAAAACAAATGAAAATTAATTCCATCACCGATAAGTATAACTACCAAAACTACGATGTTATAAAAGAATACTATAGAGAAGAAACTCTTTACTCAGAAGATGAAAGTACATACGAAGTAATGGAAACATCTTTAAATCAAGTTCTTGAAACTTCATTTCAAGAAGGACAAAGCAAAAAGGACTATCCTATAGACGCAACTAGAACTAATGCTATGATGATAACAGAAAAACGAGGATTAACTCAATTATGTTCAGAATGCTATTATACTTATTCACCTAAAGACTTACTAGGAGGAACATGTCTGGAATGCTTTAAAGAAATGCAAGACAGACTAACAGACGTACAAAAGGAAGAAGCCAGAGTAAAATTAAAAAAATGGCAAAATGATGTAGACTATAAGTTATGGAAATGGGAATATAATCAAGAAACAGACGTAGTAGAAAAACATTATATTTGGTGTCATAATTGTACAGTGCAAAAAGGCCAAATTTGCAAGGTAACCAAGCAAAATGAAAAACTTGGAAAAGCACACATCACTAAAGAAAATGAAATACGAAGAAAAAACCAAAATGGCTGGTGGACAATATATAAAATAATTGAAGAAGAAATAGAACAATTACCAAACGTATCTATTATGGAACAATGTGAAGAATGTAAAGAAATCTCAAGGAAATTACTAAAAAGAAAAGATTCTATGGAAGATAAAATACTACTAATCGGAACCCAAAAGAACCCTATTGTTATAACCGAAACTCATCAGACAGACCAAGATCATTCAGACCCTGAAAAATCAGAATTTTATCCTCATTACTATGAACCATCAAATCGAAATATAGAAATACAACTACAACAAAGAAACAAAAAAGAAATGAAAGATTTGATTAATATAATAAATCCTTCATGCGATAATGAATTAGAAACAAGTAATATACTCCAAGAAAAAGAATCATTATTCGATGAAAATGAAGAAATGACGGATAACGACACTTTAAATGATCACGGATCACAAAACCAGAATGAAAGTATTGAAGAATGATTACATCAATTGGAAACACTTATGCGAAGACTATTCTTTTCCCTAAGTGGAAGAAACTTATTAGATATAGCTGAATTAAAAGAAGAGAATAGGGAATTGAAACAACAAGTTCGAAACTTGAAAAGAAAAGTAGAAGCACTTGAAGAAAACCAACTAGTAGAACAAATATTAAACTACAATCACCATAACTTACGAAAAAGACAAGCAACCACTTCACGACACCAAGCATTTCATAACCTTCAATTTGACCACCCTAAATTCGTAGAAGCCCTAAAAAAGGCCCAGACACTGAAT